GGAATTGTAAAAGAGAAGTTGAGAGATGATTATAAAATTTGTATTAAAAACGGAAATTAATTATTAAAAATGTAGTATTATTCTCATGCGGAATATAAAAAGTAGAATTAAAACCTCCTAGTTATTTTTCATTTGGTTCATGGGTTTTCTGCTTTATCCCAAAACACATAAATATAATATATAACAATTAATAATTATTATGACTAGAACATTAAGTATTGCCATTAAGGAAAATACCTATCAAGAATTGCGGCAAAAAATCGGAATAGGGAAAATTAGTTCTTTTGTTAATCAAGCCGTAGAAAAAGAGTTATTGGAATTAACTCACAAAGAAAAGGAAGAAAAGGAAGAACTACGTCAACAATTAATTGCTGGCTACAAGGCTAATGCTTGCAATAAAAAACTGCAAAAAGAATTAAAAGTTTTAGAAAAAGTATCATTGGAGGATATGTTTAAGGCAACCAGGTATAGAAAAAAAGGTAATGAGTAAACCTAATAAATTTCCTAAACGAGGAGAAATCTGATTACTAAAAAATCCTGAAAGAATTAAGGAATTTGGTAAAGATTATCGTCCAGTCTTAATAATCAGTAGTGATGAGCAGAATGAGTTTGATGTTAAAGTGGTGGCGGTGCCTTTGACTACTGAGGAGATCGAACAAGTTAAAATATTTGAAGTTTTCATTGAAAACGCCCCAGAAACCGGTTTAGATTATCCGAGTAAGATTTTGCTTAATTATCCTTTTGCCTTGGAGAAAGAATTAAGATTAGAAAAAGAAAGATTAGGAGTGATTGGCTGAGAGACCATGCAAAAGGTTAAAAAAGCCTGAAAAGTTGCTTTTAATGTGGAGGAATGGTAAATCAAAATCCTTTTTTTAACATTCGATTGGTATTATTTGTATATAAAATCTTTATTATATTGTGTTAATATAGAAAATTAAAATTATGGTAAATACATACAAAAATTTAGTAGAAGAATATATGGGAGTTACCCACACTCAATACAATTTAATGAGTAGTGAAGAAAAATGTGAAAAAATGCTTGAACTTTTAACCAAGGACAATGGTGACTTTTTAAAAATTAATTTAATAAGGATAATAGGTGGAGATTACGATTTTTTTGAGGAAAGGGAAATTTGAAAATTTACTTTTGAGTTATTAACAACTTTAAAATCAGAGAAAACAAATAAACTCAAAAAGTTTGCTAGTTACAGTACTTTTCTTACTCAGCATTTAATTCCGATAGTTGAAGAATATTTAAAAAACTCTTCTTCTCCTTGAAATAAGCATGATTTTCTACAAAGAGAGTTGCTTGATGATGAGGATGAGTTTGCATATAGAAATTTAAACGCTTTAAATGAGTTATTACTTGTTAGAGAAGAGTTAGGTGATAATGTCCTTATGACTTTAATGGTGAGACTAGCAAGGCGGAAAAAAAGTAAAGAAGAACTTGACAATATAGTAAAAAAAATAAACATTTTTCCAGAAATAAAAAAATATTTCGAAAACTATGCTATTTCCCAATTCAGTAGCAAATTTGAGCAAAAGTATGGAAAAAATTTAGAAGCGTATTCAAAAAAAATTGTTGTTGAGGGGATAGAAGAAATTAGTAAAGTAGAAAAATTGCTTAATTCTATTAACTATGGAGAAAAAAGGTTTTTAGGAACTGAAAAAAAATTTTTAACAAAATTAAAAAGAGAAATAGAAAGTTTAAAAGATTTTGATACTGCGAAGTCCGATGTTGTTATGGATGGCACGGAAGAAATTAAAAAATTAGAAGAAAAAATAAAATCTTTGGAAAAGGAAAATTTAGAGATTCAACAATCAGTTAAAAAAAGAATTACTGATAGAGAAAATAAAATATTCGCCGAACACCGAAAAGAAAAAATGCATTGAAGCGAACAAATTTGTGAAATGGCAAACCGTAAAAACCAAGAAATCCAAGCCAAAGATGAACAATGTAGGGAAGAAAAAATGAACCTTTTCCAGGTTTACCTCGCTAATTTAGCCCAATTAGAAACCAAACTAATCACCAGTCAAAAAAGACTAAAAAAATCTCGCCAAAAAGCCAAAAAATACAAAAAAGCCAATCATCTTCAATACCAGACTCGAAGAGTTATTGAAAACAGGGAATTAATAGCCCAAAATGAAACTTTAAAGAATCAAAAAAATTTCCTAATCAAAAAAGCCGTTGAGTTATCTAATTATAAAATCAAAGCCGAAGAATTACAAAGACACCTAAACTTAGCTTACCGCAATATTTATGAGCAAAAAGAAGTAAAATTATTAGAGCAACAAAGAGAATTATTAATCAGAAAAACCGTCGAATTATCTGATAAAATTACAGATGCCAATGCTAATTATTATAATACAGTAATCGATTTGGTCAAAGAAAAATCCCAATCCAGAAAAGCAAGTTTGGCTCTCAAAAAACGAGCCTTAGAATTAAAAAATGATTTCAATAACAAACAAAGCGAAGCAACTAGTTTACAAAGCAAAATTACCAGAGCCGAACATGATTTAGGAATAGGTTTAGATAATTTAACTGCTGAATTAGAGGGTAAAACATTTGCTGAATATAAGCAAACGCAAGAGAGAGAGAGAGAGAGAGAGAGAGAGAGAGAGAGAGAGACGATTTTGAGTCTCAGTTAACTTCCATCCAACTCGAAGCCAACAACTATAAACAACAATTAGAACAGCAAAAAGATTATGAGGAAATTAAGCAAGAACAGAGCCAATTAAAAACTGAACTTAACCAAAAAGAAACTTCAATAATTGCCAAAATCAATAGCGAATTGAAATTAGACCTAGGCAAGGAAGTCAATTTAGAACAAACGATAGAAAAAATTAAAGAGTTAATTATTAATAAATCCCCTGATAATAGTCAAGAAACTAATTTAGACAGTCTTCGCCAGCAAGTAGCCGAAAAGGATGAAGAAATCAAACAATTGGAACAGGAAATAGAGAAAAATGCTGGTTTTTCTGGTTCTCGGGAACATAATGACAAAGTTAACTTACTCCTTGCCAAAATTCAACCCAAAGGTGATGAAGTGGATACGAAAGATTTAAAAGAAATTAACCAGTTATTCGGAACGTCTGAATATGAAAAGCAAAAACGGAAAATTAGAGAATTAGAAATAAAATCGGCTCAAAAAGACCCCGAAAAATATAAGGAACTAGTTAAGGCAAGATTAGATAAAGGATTATCTAAATACGAGTTAAAAGTCGATGAATTAACTCCCCAAATTAAAAATGAAGTAGAAAGTTTAAAAGAAAATAAAATGAACGATGCAGAGAAGATAGTTAAAATTTCAAATGAAATTATTAGAAAGGTCAATCTCGAAGGAGCTTCTAAAAAAATAAATAGTTTGATAAATCAAGGCAACCAATTTCTCTATAAAGTTAAACAAAGTCAAACCAAAGCAAAAGTTGATAAAACGATAAAAGATATTAAGAAGTTTATTAGTGAGAATAATATTTTTCAGCAAAAAGCATATCAACTCCAAAAACCCCAAGTAGAACAATTACTCAAAGATTTAGAGAGTTATTCCACCCAAACGATTGTCTCAAAGAATCATTTTCCGTTGGTTCCGACAGTGGTTAGTGTTCTTTTACTAATTTTTTTGATTAGTTTAGTAATTGTTATTATTAGAAATGTTAGAGTTAGTCGAATTCGAAAAAGGGGGAATAATTTATAATTCTTTTAGGCTCAATTAACCAGTTATTTCATCTCCTTTTGATAAGTTTCTTGACATTTTTTCAATAATTTTTCCGCTTGTTCTTTACTTTCAAATTCTCCTATTTCTACTTTTTTACCTTCTAAATCTTTATAGCGAGCAAAAAAATGTTTGATTTTCTCTTTCGTTTGGCGAGGAACATCCGCTAATTTTTGAATATGGTTTAATTCGGGTTCACCAGCATTCACGGCTAGTAATTTATCATCTTGTTCGCCTTTATCAATCATTTTTAAAACTCCAATAATTCGCACTGGAACATAAAGACCACAAAAAGTGGGTTGAATGGTTAAACAAATAACATCTAATTCATCCCCATCCGGTGCTAAGGTTTCTGGAATGACACCGTATTCCCCTGGATAGGACATTGCTACTGACAAAACTCTATCCAATTCGAACCTTTGTTTAATTTTATTATATTCAATTTTATTAGAACTACCTTTTGGTATTTCGACTTTCATGTATATTTCTTCCATATTTACTAGTTTTACATAAGAATGAATTAAAAATTAATAAAAATATAATTATCTATAACAATATGCCAACCAAGGAAGAAAAAGTAAGTAAAGTAAAACAGGATGCAAAGCGAGCCAAAAATAGTAAGTATAAAACGTTAATCAAAAACCAGTTTAAAAAAAATGAAGTTTATTTGAAAGAAAACAAACTAGATGAAAAAGAATTAGAAAAGTTGATTTCAGAAACGCAGAGGATATTAGACCAAGCCAAAAGTAAAAAAGTAATCCATGCAAATAAGGCCGCCCACAAGAAAAGTCAATGAAGTAAAAGACTAAGTCTGTCAAGAGGAGAAAAAAAAGAGGCAAACCGAGAAGAGTTTAGTTAACTGTAAAATTTAGCGATTTTAAAATACTGTTGAATTTATTTTCTTGGCAAAATTGTCTTAATTCTGGATTATTTTTCCACTTTTCTCAACTGAAGTTACATTTTTCATATATGTCTGGTAAAGAAATATTTATAACTAAACTAATGAGTTTTTTATTGCTAAGAACTAATTTTTCTTGGTCTATTAATAGGCGTTTGGTAATTTCAGGCAAGTTATTTATTTTTTGATAAATATTTTCTACGGTCTGAAATTGCTGAATTAGTTTTTTGGCATTGACTGGTCCAATTCCTTTTATTCCCTCAATATTGTCAACATTGTCTCCCAACAAACTTAAATAATCAATATAACTATTGGGAGTAAATTTATACTCTTGGCAAAAATTATCATAAGTATAGAGGGTTGCTTTTCCATTAATGTATTTTAAAATGTTAACATTTTGGCTAAGCAGTTGAAGTAAGTCCTTATCACGAGTAAAAACGTCAAAAGTTAAACCAGGGTTATCTTTCATTTTTTGATTGACAAAAGAAGCAATTAAGTCATCCGCTTCTTGATTTTCTAATTGTAAGTAGGTAAGGTCAGTTTTTTCTAATAGTAATTTTACTGTTTCCATTTGTTGATACAACTCCTCGGGCATGGCTTCCCTTTGAGCCTTGTATTGCGGTAGCAAGTTTTTTCGGAAGTTAGTTCCGCCACCATCAAAGGCTATTAATAACTTTTGATAATCCGTTTTTTTGAAGATGCTAATCAACACTCGTAAAAAGAAAAAAACAGTTCCTTGTTTCATTTTTCAAGGTAATTTTTGGGCAACGTGGTAGGAGGAGTAGAGAAGGTTATTACCATCAATTATTAATATTTTTTGTTTCATATACTTTAACGAGAATAATTAAGTTTTTTAGTAGCGATACACAGTTCTTTATCTTTAATGACCAAAAAAAACACCTCAGATAAAACTAAAATTGTTGATAATAAAGAAGAAGAGGCAGAGAAATTAAAAGCAAAATTGTTAGAGTTTAATAGCACCAATATTTATCAAAAAAAAGGCAAAATAGAACAATTGTTAAAGGAAACTAGTTCAGGTTAAAATAATAAAAATAATAATTTTTTAACTGGTTTAGTTATCAGTGGAAGGATAACATTAGCAATAATAATAGGATTTTAGTGTAGTTATCTCCTTGAAACAAAGGGATTATTTTTAATATAAAACCTTCACAGTCGGTCTTTATCATCACCTGCGTAATCAATATTAATTCTTTTAGTAATGATAACTTGATCTGGACTGATTTCTGGTTGGTCTTCTAAATAAATTAAGTTGCTGGTAGTTAAATCAGTATGGTTAAGACTTATATCAATATTCAAGGCTCGACATAATTTTCCTGGACCATTAGTATAATAGTGAAATTTTTTCTTTGGGTCGTGTTGAGAGGGGACAGAGATGGTGTGGTGGTCAAGTGGTTCAACGGCTCGAATTAATACTGCTTGCGGGTCTCCTTTAAGAGAGGAAGTTATATTAAAACAATAATACATGCCATAAATAAGGTAAACATAAGCACAACCTCCTCGATTATACAAGGCAGCCGCTTTTCACTTTGACCTATTTTCTTGATGAGCATGGCAGGCTCGGTCAATGTTTCCATCATAAGCTTCAGTTTCCACAATTTTAACTTTGATAATTCGGTCATCGATTTTTCGAACTAGTATTTTACCTAATAGTTTTTGGGCTAAGTTTACTGTGTTGATGGTGAAGAAAGCGGAGTCAGTAATGTGTGAATTATTATTTTCTTCATTCAACTCTTTTAAGTTTTTATTCATTTTTAATTTCCTTTTTAACTTCGACAAGCAGTTTTTTTAATTCCTGGTGATATTTATCTTGCTGGTTAATTAAATCTTCTAGTTCGCTAGTAGTTTCAAGTAATTTTTTATCAATTTCTTCGGGAGTTAATTCAATTTCATTTTGGGATAAATAACGGGCTGGAACCAAAATATAATTATTTTCTTTAATTTCGGCTTGGGACGCAATTTTCGCCAGCAAACCATTTTCAGGAAGTTCTTGATTATTGAGAAATCGGTGGTATAATTCAGCGACCTCTTGAATATTCTTTTCAGTTAATATCCTTTGACTACTACTAATTTTTTCGCCAAAATCATCTTGGGAAATATCAACCATTAATATCTTCTTTTCTTCCCCTCTGTTTTTTCGCAAAATTCAAACACAGGGAGCAATGCCGGTAGTATAAAACAAATTATTTGGTAAAGTGATTATTGCTTCTACCAAATTACTTTCAATTAAATTTTGCCGAATACTGGCGGCTTTTTTATTCAATCCGGATAAAGTTCCATTAGCCATGATTATAGTGGCTACTCCCTTTTCCTTTAATTTATAAAGACAATGCTCTATTCAAGCAAAATTAGCATCATTTTTAGGCGGTATTCCTCACTGTCAACGCGGGTCGTTTTCCTTTATTTGGGGATTAGAAATATTAAAAGGAGGATTAGTGATAATATAATCCGCGTTTTTGTTAGGGTGTAAATCTTCTTTAAAAGTATCTTCGGCTCGGGAACCTAAATAAAATTTTAGACCATGAATGAGCAAGTTCATTCGGGATAATTTTCAAGTGCTATCATCAATTTCTTGTCCTAAACAAAGGGGCTGATAAGCATTATTACCATTCCCTTTTTTATTTTTTTTAATGAATTCTTGACTTTGAACGAACATGCCGCCGCTACCGCAGCATGGGTCATAAATTACGATTTCATAATCTTTACGGGGAAAAGGTTGTAGGATATTTACTAATAACTGAACTACACAAGCCGGAGTATAAAATTCGCCACCGGTGCGACCACTACTGGCCGCAAATTGTTGGAGAAAAAATTGGTAAGCATTGCCTAAATAATCTAATTGTAATTTTCCCCCTTTTTGGGTGAAAGCATTGTCAAAGTCATGAAAAATAGTAGATAATTTTTGAAAATCAAGGTTTTTACTCAAAAAAGTGCCTTTATGGGTTAAATCTTTATAATTAGTATTATAATTTTCAATTTTATCTAAGGCATCATAAATAACTTGGTTAAAATTATTAGTATTAGCATTTTTACTAATATAATCCCAGCGACTTTCTTCGGCTAGTCATAAATCATAATAGTCCGGGTCTTCCCTATCCTCGGGGTCTAACTCAGTTTTTTGTTGTTCGAATTTACGATTAATGGCTAGCAAAAAAATTAAATCAAAACAGATTTCTTTATATTTATGTAAATCCATGCTCCCGCGTTGTTTATCGAGCAACTTTCACAGATTATTATAAAAATCGTTATTGTTCATATGTAAAATTTTAGTATATTCAAATGTATAAAAAATATAAATTAGGGGAAGTTTGCGAAGTTAAGGCTCATCCAGGAGGGTGAAATATTAAGGGAAGTGGTAATCAAATTCATTGAAAAAAAGGGACAATTCCCTTTTATCAAATAAAGAATATTCAAGAAGAAAACTTAATTCCTGATAAAAAACTTACCGGTAAAGCTGTTAATGAATGAAAATTGCCCTTCACTACCAAAAATTCCTTGCTTTTATCTACTATTGGTACCATCGGTAAAGTTTTTTATCCTCGTAAAGAAAATTGTGTTTTTGCGAGTACTATTATTTGTTTGGAACCTAACCTTGATTTAGTAAATCCTAATTATTTATATTATTTTCTTAATAGCCACGAAAAGAAAGTTAAGAGTTTTGCGGTTGGTAGCACAGTGCTTATGTTGACTAAAACAGTTCTTTCAAGTTTGCCAATTTTTCTACCCTCTTTACAAGAACAAGAAAAAATTCTCCAAGAGTTCCAAATCGTTTATAATACTTTCTTTAAATCCGAAGTAATTTATAATGATTTTTTATTAAATCTAATGAAAAAATATTTAGAGATAGGCGATTTACTTTTTCAAAAATATAAAGACAGCCAAATTAAAATTAAAGACCGTTTTAAGTTAGTGAGGGGCAAAACTCCTCCTACAACAAATAAAGAGTATTATCAAAACGGAACTATAAAATGGATAAATAGTGGGGTTTTAACTAATTTATATTTTTTAACTAATGAAACTCCGGTCAGCAAACAAATTACTGAAAAAGCGGCAAAAGAATGTCAAATTCCTTTGGTTATTCCAAACAGTGTTTTGATTTCAGGGATAGATTTCAACATTGATGATAAAATTATTTGAAACCAAACTAACGATTTAGTAATGGGAACCGGGATTTATAATTTCATTGGTAATAGTCCGGTTGAAAATGCTGTGCTTTTTTTTGCTCTGCGAAATGCTAGAAAGGAGATAATTAAAAAAATCTGCTTAAAAGGAGCTACCCAGTTTACCAGCATTAGAGGTTCAGAATTAATTAATTTTCCTCTTCGGTGAGTTTCTGACTCCGCTAAACAAAAAATATTTTTTACTATTTTAAATAGTAAACTCGCGAAAATCAAAGATTTGCACCGCAAAATCAAAGATTTGCACCGCAAAATCAAAGATTTGCACCGCAAAATCAAAGATTT